AGTGTGTGTAAGACAAATAGCTGTTTTGCAAGATAGAAAAGAAAAACAAGGAGCGCAAAATTCGTAATGCAAGAAAATGTCCAATGCTTTTATTGATGATATATGGAAATGACACATAATAAGCCCTCAAACAAAGCCACGGTGTCTCGGGAAAGGCACCGGGCCGTAAGGTTTTAAATTGTTTGTTACAAACTCAAAACAAAAGTCTATTACTGTGTAGTAAAAGAAATGGGCACGAAGTCCTTCGCCATCCAATTGCTTAATCCGCCGTCGGTGGTCGGGTAAATACAACTGTCAATATCTGACTCTTCATCATCATCAACACCTTCCATGGCAGAGACCACTTCAATAACATTGACTCCTGAGTCATGCTTAGGCATGGGAGAAGTTATGACGTTGGGCTTTTCCGGTGCGTCAAATTCAATCTCTTTAGCATCAATCAGATCCTGCACTTTATTCTTCAAAGCCCATCAGTTGTTTGTATCATGCCCTGGGCTATCGGAGTGATAAGCACAGTGGGCGTTTGGATTATACAGCGGAGATGTTGTACTGGGATTCTTTGGAGCCTCCCTCAGAGTCACCAAGTTGGTTTTCAACAATTGCGGCAGAATTTGAGACAGGGTCATACTGAGCCGAGTATACTGCCTTTGCAGTCTCTCTACTCGACTCTTTGTTGAAATTACCACTCCATTAACTGCTTGGCGGAGTTCAGGACGGTTTTGGCTCCTCGAGCTTTAAATTGCACTAGATTCCTTCTTGAAAGGCTTCTTTTCTGTGCCTGACGAAGCACCTTTCTGTATCTTGCCACTTTTGATACCGGCTTCAACTCTCTCCCCAATCATAATAAATTCAGTAAACCCGGACGATGAACTACCGATCAAATGATTGAAGTATGGACCAGACAAAGTCCCAAGAAACATATCCACCAACTCCTTATCAGCCAGAGGGGGTTGTACTCTTCCAGCAAGGTCTCTCCACTTCTGAGTGTAGTCCTTAAAACCTTCGCTCGCACCCATAGACATACCCTGAAGTTGGGTACGTGTGGGAGCAAGGTCGACATTATACTGGTATTGCTTGTAAAAAGAAGCAGCAAGGTCCTCCCAGTTGCGGACATTAGCTCCTTCTAGTTGATAGAACCATTCAAGTTGAGTCCCTGACAGACTATCTTGAAAGAACTTATGTGTGTTGCTAATGCTTGATATAAGAGTTTTGTGAATGAGTTATTTGAGCATGCATCAACTCTATTTATAGAGGAGTGGTATTATCTTACTTGGTAGAAAATTTGACAGCATATCATATGTACAGTATAAGACCTTTACAATACTTGGTGAAACAATTTTACATGTGCCCTTGATGTCATCAAATAGCTGTAAAACTTATCCTAAAATTGTTCCTTATTATCCCTTATACGATTTTAATATATACTAAAAACATAATTAATTATTATATACAAAGAAATCTTATGATTTATTTTTAAAGTTGTTTTCACAAATTCACTCTATAAATATAATAAATAAATTATTTAATAGGTACTAAAAAAAATGTGTAAAATAAATTTAGAAATAATAATAATAATACTAATAATAATACTAATAATAATAGTAATAATAATAATTATGATTAAAATTTTTAGGGTGTTATATTACTACCCTACAAAAAAAAATTTCGTCCTCGAAATTGTGTACCTTTAAAATAAATTTGGATATTATTGTCGCATATTATCTTCTAATTCCCATGTTGAATATCCCGTTGCTTGATCCCATACTACTTTAACTAAGCAAATTTGTTTCCCTCTTAGTTGTTTGACTCTTCTATCTTCAATCCTTACAGGAGATGTCTCGTAGGACAAGTTTTCTTTTAAAGGAACTTCATCGGGTTGAATTATATGAGATGGATCGGGAACATATCTTCTTAGTTGTGAAACATGTAAGACATTGTGGATTTTTGAAAGAAAAGGTGGTAAAGCAATCTGATAGGCGACTGGACCAATACGACGAATGATTTGGTAGGGTCCAATGAATTTTGGAGTGAGTTTTCTGGCCTTAATAACTCTACCTACCCCAGTCGTTGATGTGACTCTTAAAAATACGTGTTCACCTTCCTGAAATTCGAGAGGTCTTCTCCTTTGGTCAGAATAACTCTTTTGTCTACTTTGTGATATTCTCAACCTTTCGCGAATCATTCTTACTTTCTCAGTTGTTTGTTGTACGATATCTGGTCCAAGCAAACTACTTTCTCCATCCTTATACCAACACAATGGTGTTTGACATTTTCTCCCGTACAAAGCTTCGTAGGGTGCCATCCCTATACTTGAGTGGAAGCTATTGTTGTACGTAAACTCAATCAATGGTAACAGGTCATCCCAACTTCCCCTATTGTCTAAAACGCACGCTCTCAACAAATCTTCTAGAGATTGAATTGTTCTCTCTGTTTGTCCATCTGTCTGAGGGTGATAAGCAGAGCTTAATCGTAAATTTGTTCCCAAGGCCTTATGTAAGCCTTTCCAAAGATGAGATGTGAATTTGGGGTCTCGATCAGAAACAATGCTCGATGGTACTCCATGGAGTCTTATAATTTCCCTGATGTAAATCTCAGTGAGCTTTTCCACTTTATAGTTTATGTTTACAGGTAAGAAATGGGCTGACTTTGTCAACCTATCTACAATCACCCATATGGAATCATAGTTAAGTCGGGTTTTTGGCAATCCCACAACAAAATCCATCGATATACTCTCCCATTTCCACTATGGAATGTCTAATGATTGAAGCATACCAGCTGGCCTTTGATGTTCAACCTTTGCTTTTTGACACGTCAGACACGATGCAACATATTCTGCGACTTGCCTCTTCATTCCTGGCCACCAAAAATTTAACTTCAAATCTTTGTACATCTTTGTGGCTCCTGGATGGATACTCAACATGCTCTTATGTGCTTCATCCAAAATCTTTTTCCTCATTTCTAAATCATTTGGAACACAAACCCTCGCATTACATCTTAGAATTCCATCAGTTCCTAAATTGAATTCAGTGGTGTTTTCTTGTCCGATCAATTTCTTTTTCTCTTGTAGATATTCATCATTTTCTTGTTGATGACGAATATCTTCCATAAAATCATTTGAAACCTTGACCATTCCTAAACAAATTTTTCCAGTAGAAAATTTCATGGCTAAATTTAGATCTCGAAACTTTTCTATCAATTCTAGTTCTTTAGCCATCATGGAAGAAATGTGAATCTCCTTTCTACTTAATGCGTCTGCTACTATGTTTGCTTTTCCCGGATGATATAGTAAGGTAAAATCGTAATCCTTGAGGAATTCCATCCATCGTCTTTGTCTCATGTTAAGTTCTTTCTGGTCAAAAAGATACTTCAGGCTTTTATGGTCACTGAAGACTTCAAATGTAGATCCATACAAATGATGTCTCCAAATCTTTAACGCAAATACGACGGCAGCAAGCTCTAGGTCATGTGTTGGGTAATTGCGTTCATGAGTTTTTAATTGTCTTGAAGCGTACGCCGCGACCCTTTTGTGTTGCATAAGAACACAACCTAAACCTTAATGGGAAGCATCATAATATACTTCATATGGTTCATCTGGTTGTGGTAAAACTAACACTGGTGACGTTGTCAAACGTTGTTTCATCGTTTGAAAGCTTTCCTCACACTTCTCAGTCCATACAAATGGTTGATCTTTCCTTGTGAGTTGTGTTAAGGGTGCCACTATCTTCGAGAATCCTTCGATAAATCTTCGATAGTATCCAGCCAAACCAACAAAACTACGAATCTCGGTTACTGTTCTTGGTCGCTCCCATGAAAGTACAGTTTCTACTTTTGTAGGGTCTACAACTATCCCATCCTTTGTTATCACATGCCCTAAGAATTTTACTTCCTGAAGCCAAAATTCACATTTTGATAGTTTTGCGTATAGTTTCTTTTCACGTAGAATTTGCAAAACTTGTCGTAAATGATCCTCATGCTCTTCAGGGGTTTTGGAATAAATGAGAATGTCATCAATGAACACAACGACAAATTTATCAAGGAATGGATGGAAAATCCGATTCATGTAGTCCATGAAAATTTCTGGAGCATTCGTCACACCAAATGGCATTACGAGATATTCATAATGTCCATAACGGGTCCTAAACGCCGTTTTTGAAACATCTTCGTTCTTCACTCTGATTTGGTGATATCCTGTTCTTAAATCTATTTTGAGAAGATAACAGCCCCACGAAGTTGATCCATCAAGTCGTCAATGCGTGGAAGTGGGTATTTGTTCTTGATTGTCACCTTGTTTAGTTGGCGATAGTCCACACAAAGTCTTGAGCTTCCATCCTTTTTCTTTACCAACAACACTGGTGCTCCCCAAGGTGAAACACTTGGTCGGATGAACTGTTTTGACAATAGATCTTCAAGTTGAGCTTTTAACTCGGCTAGTTCAGTAGGCGACATCCGATACGGTGAGATAGAGATCGGACTTGATCCAGGGATCAGATCAATCGAAAACTCAATATCGTGTACTGGAGGTAAACCTGGAACATCTTCTGGAAATACTCCAGGAAATTCTTTCACTACAGGAATTTCACCCACAATTGTCTCACTCGAAACTTCTAAGGAAGATATTAACATATCTCCTTGAGCTCCTTCTTTTAAAGAAGTTGCAGCGTGATCAGCAGATAGAAGTCTAGAAATTTCGTGATTAGGAAAAATTAAAGTTTTATGTTCACAAACTAAAAGGATATGGTTGGAAGATAACCAATCCATGCCTAAAATTACATCTAATTGTGTTAAAGGCAAACATACCAAGTCAACAAGATGTTTCCTATCATGGATGACAATAGGACAATTCAAACAGATGGAATTTGTAACTATGGGTTTTGACGTAGGAGTAGAAACAATTAAATCAAAAGGTAATAAAGAAATAGGTAAGTTTAATTGTTTCACGCGATCCTGAGATATAAAAGAATGAGTTGCTCCTGAATCAAACAACACAGTTAAGAGATTACCAGACATCTCGCATCTACCTTGTATAAGATTTTCAGACTGAGAAGCTTCAACGCCACTTATAGTATAAACCCTTCCTTTCTCCTTTTGCTTTGCAGCTCTCACATTACTCATCACTGGTTCAGCTTTCGCATCCATGCATTCCCTAGCCATGTGTCCTATCTTTCCACATTTGAAACACACCATTCCTTTCACAGGACAAGTGTTAGCCAAATGGTCTTGTTTCCCACATTTGAAGCACCTCCGAGTAGTTTCTTGATTTTGATTCCTATCTAACCCATTTCCAATTGCAGATGCAACTGGACGATATGGTCATCGATTCTGATCATTTCCCAAAGGTCGAGAATATGGTTTTTTGAATAATTGTTTTCCCTTTTGACTCCATCCCGAAGTTGGATACTTAGACCTAGATGGTCCCCCAGCATTTCCTCGGCTGATTCCACCTTCCTTCATCGCTTCTATTTTCCTACATTTTTCCACCAGAGGTTGGAATTGACGAATCTCCAAAGGCAAGACAGATTCCTTGATGTTATGTCTTAATCCACCCTCAAATCTTTCACATAACCAATCCTCGTCAACCTGCTCCTGAAAAAACGAAAATATTTCGCCAACGACTCAAACTTAGCTGCATACTCTCCAATCGTCATTCCACCTTGTTTCAGGGTAAGAAATTCTTGCTCCTTTGCAGTCCTAGCACTTCTGGGAAAATACTTATCTAAAAATTTAGTACGAAATACCTCCCAGGTAACTTCCTGATTGTTAGCTTCAACTATTTGTTTGGCTCCTTTCCACCAATACTCTGCATCTCCGAGCAACAAATAGGATGCATAGTTTACTTTTACCCCATCTGGACACTTTAGTACATTAAAAATTTTCTCGATTTCTTGAAGCCACAAGTCAGCTTTTTCTGGCTCCGCATCTCCGTGAAACTGTGGAGGATCATGACGTCTAAAGTTCCCTAACCCTTTCGATTCAGCTGCTTGTTCCTCCCTCTGTTGTTTTCGAAGATCTCTCTGATTCTTCGCAGCAGTTTGTTGTGCAATCAAAACTGCCATGTCAGCCATTACTTGGATAGCCCTATCCATGTTATTGCCACCACCGTCGTTGTTACCTTCGACACCCCCAGTGTTTATACGCGTATTTCTACAAGCCATTTGATTCCTAAAAAGTAACACCAATCAAATTCTCTTAGAAATTAAAGAACTAATCGAGTTTCAACACAACAAAACATAATAGACCCTAACCCAAAGTTATTATGGAAGATCAAACCGTGCTCTGATACCACTTAATGTAACACCCCAAAATTTTCTTATATAGTATTATATCTTAAATAGTTATTTAAAAAAAATACTTTAAAATTCTTAGTTTCATTAAAACTTTTTTAAAATTATTTGAAATTAATCTAAAAGTTAAAGTCAAGCGAATACACACACATATTCTACATTATTTTATAATACACACCAGTACTGCTTATTTTGCCTGTAGGCTTACATATTATACTAACATCAAACCTAGATAATTATTCTTATATCACCTGCAAGACAACACCTTAGTCATAGTTATATTCACATCATTCAAAGTCAGTACTATCAAAAGAAAAGTCTAGAAACATAGACATATCTAGTCTACAAACTATCCCAAAATGGTTCCTAAACTTTCCACCACTAAGAGTCACCCATCAGCATGTCATTAGTGTCCATTGGGCAAATCCCCATTGACACTACTATCTCCTAAGTATTCAGAAGGATCCTCCTCTGATTCAACACGACCATTCCTTGCAAATCCATTTTCACCTGCACCAGCGTTATCATATTGAGGAACATGTGGACCATGAACTCTAACACGTGGAGAAGGACGGTTGCGAGGCCTAGGTCCCCTATGTCTAGCAGAGGTAGAATTCTCCCCAACATTATCTAATGTGAGTGCTCTTATCATCCGTTCCATTGGCAGTACCAATTCTAAAGTGATGTGATATGTAATGGAGGAAACTGCTAGTCCTCTTATTCCTTCGGTAGTTCTTACATGTCTTGTAAACTTTAAAGTTTGGGCATTTCTATCAATTTCCCAAACCGCATCCCCCTGTTCCTCGAGACACTCAATTTTCCGCATACCCGAATGATCCAGTGGCTCCCCCATCATCATCTGTAATGTAAGGGATGAAATACTCGTACACAAGTTTACATCATGATGATCACACAAGGTTACAAATAATATTATACAATTATATGCAATATTTTGCTAAATAGAACATCATATATTAAATAATTCAATTTCACATATATATATAAACAAAATAAAATAGTCACGTAGAATCATTTAATCACAAAACATTCATCCATTAAGAATATAGAATATCCTGTCAATGATCACAAGACAAATGTTAGTCATGATAAAATAAAAATCCATATTTCTATTGGCAGTATAGTGTAAATTTTAATCATCTTGTTCAACCCTACTCCATGGAGACATCTATTCCAACATGAGCATAAGGCCGTTTCAACTGCCATATCATGATTGTTTTGCAATGAGTAGATATCCAACTTCTACTCCAACCATTATGGCCTGAGCGCTACACCTTATTTTAGATAGTCCCGTACAGTCAGGTATCACTGTGTCGGGTATTATGATTTCCTCCGGTCAGAGTGGCTATCACTGACCTTTGGTAGGAGTTCAAAACACATGTGACCCCCAGAAGGTCTGTAGTCGACCCAACCGAACCTATCCTCAGTCTTATAAACTTCATCATATTATAAGAAACAACCTGTTTTACTCTTAAATTAAGTGGTTAGTAAATTCTTTATACATTTCTTCACTTTATTTACCACAATTAATAATCAGATTCACCAACACCATTAATATACACTTCAAAACACATATTTGATAAAAAATCTAAAATTGTCAATATCAAAAGTTCCTAATTATAACTAATAATATATATATGTACAATTATCACGTTTCTTGTGCTCATCGAAACTTATTATTAGTAAATCCCCTTACCTTTGAGCTTTCTCAATCTACTTGAGTAATCACTTCCCTGATACCTATTTACTCAACAACATAACTATATTTCAATTACTAATCTTAAATATTAAAAATTCTAACAAGTATTAAATTTAAAGGACAAAATAGAATTAGCTAATGAACTAATTAAATTTTAAATTATTTTTATATACATACATACATCATACGTATTTTTGAAATAAATAAATAAGTATAAGTTTTAATTTTCTAAGATGAATATCATATCTATAAAAGTATTATAAATATATTTTTTATATTTAATAAAACGAACTTATATTAACAATTTGATTTATTATACATAGTATAAATTAAAGTGACCAGTAATTAATATTTTTGAAAACTAGGTTAACTAATTAAATTGAAAAAAAACGTAACTGTATATTGGTCATTAAATTTTGAAATGAAAATCTTACATATAAATATTCAGTACAAAAATTGATTTACACTACTTGGTTCTAATATTTTCAAAAAGAATAAATATTTGTCAAACATAAATAGATATCATGATTCACATAATTATTCAATACTAAATAATCATTTAAGTGTGTATGTTCCTATAAAGTTGTTGTTATGCTTTTCTATACAAGAATGAAAAAGAAGTCAAGTATATATTTTTTTTTTACTTACCTTCAGTAAGCACTTATGTGTGTTGCTAATGCTTGATATAAGAGTTTTGTGAATGAGTTATTTGAGCATGCATCAACTCTATTTATAGAGGAGTGGTATTATCTTACTTGGTAGAAAATTTGACAGCATATCATATGTACAGTATAAGACCTTTACAATACTTGGTGAAAAATTTTTACACGTGCCCTTGATGTCATCAAATAGCTGTAAAACTTATCCTAAAATTGTTCCTTATTATCCCTTATACGATTTTAATATATACTAAAAACATAATTAATTATTATATACAAAGAAATCTTATGATTTATTTTTAAAGTTGTTTTTCACAAATTCACTCTATAAATATAATAAATAAATTATTTAATAGGTACTAAAAAAAAGTGTAAAATAAATTTAGAAATAATAATAATAATACTAATAATAATACTAATAATAATAGTAATAATAATAATTATGATTAAAATTTTTAGGGTGTTATACTTCTCTCTGTAGGTATCCTTTTCTTCCCTTAACTGGATCCAAGATCTCTTTAATGCCCCAATATTAGTAGGCATGTATGGATGGAGGACCGTATAAGGAACACCTTCTTCATTAGTATGCTCCACAGTCACCGGCAAAACAGCTTCATATGGCATCCCTAGCTTTTGAGCACGGGCTCAAACCCACTGGAGGTATGGTTGCATTGGGAGATAAGTCTTCATTCCTAGCTCATGTGGATCAGACCCTGTTCACCCTATCCCAAGCTCGTATGAACCTACGACGATGTCCCTCAACATCCCCCTTGAAGTCAAAGATAATGCCTGTAAGCAGCAGCTCACGAGGACCGTCCCTCCGAGCTCGTCCAAACTGTCGTAAGGCCAGACAAGGATTATAGGTTATTCCTCCTCTAATTCCAAGCAATGGAACATTGGGGTATTCCCCACACCGATCAATAATAGCTACCTTTTCCATGTCCTTAGTACTCCAAAGGATGTCCGCATGAGCAAGGGACATGATTCTGTAAGCCCAACCCATACCTTCCTCATTCTTCAATACAGATTTGGGGAGGTGAGAAATAAACCACCTCGCCAGCAACGGTGTACAACACATGAGAGTTCCCCTTCTCCGAACAGTACGGGTATAGAGAGCATGTAGAATGTCACCTAAGAGAGTAGGCACTGGGTTACGAGACATGAAGATCTTGACTACGTTCACATCGACGAAAGAATCAGGATTTGGGAACATAACCAAGCCGTAGATGAGGAGAGCTAGGATGTCTTCAAAAGCTTGAAAGTCTAAGTTGTCCCAGAACTGTTGAGCTTGATCGATCAAGAACTTAGCCAAGAAACCTTTAACCCCATTTCAAATCTCCCAATTAGATACTACATCAGCCATTTTCAGATGCAGGGCTGAAGCAATATCCTATGGCCTAGGAGCTATCTCCAAACCTGTAAAGGGTGTCTGCTCTAGAATAGATATGCCAAGTAAATCAGAAAACTTCTCCAAAGTAGGGACCAACTGATAGTCCGGGAAGGTGAAACAGTGATGCAACGGGTCAAAGAACTGGAACATGACACTCATCATTTGCTCATCCAATGTTGAAGTGACCAAGCTAAGGAGGTGACCATGTCTTCTAACAAAGGAAGAAGTATCAGGAACCTTTGAAACCAACTCTCTAATAAACAAAGATGAATCCCCTCGGTCTTTGAAATGGTTAGTCTAATGAAATATGCATGCGATGTCATGATGCATGATGTCATGATAAAAACACACCACAAGTATCACAAAAAGCAAACATGGTAAGGGCAAACAAGTCATACAATAGCCCTTAAATTTCAGACTGGCATGGAGTTTAGGTATTACCCTCTTGTAGTTTAGTTGGTTCAACCTGTCCTAATAATAGTAACCGGGTTCTAGAGGTTCTCAATATCACTGACCATCCTCCATCGGTCATAATTCCAGACACGTAATCTTTTCTCGCGACCGGAACCATCTCGAGAGTATGGTCTCAATGAGTGTAGCATACTACTACTTTCTATGGCCAAGTTGGTCAATTATAGGTTCTAAGGTTAGTTGATGCTTAATGACCCATATAGAAGCCCCATACTCTCCTTGTTCCTACACAAGGGATATCGGTACCAACTAATGGGTCATACCAACGTAGCTACTGCTTCAACCGTATCGATCTACGCCGTACAGTTCCCTCACAATCTATTGCTACTTACCTAAAAGGTGTCCCCAGATCCGGGTTAGGATCTATAGTAACTCCGATACAAAGCCCATAAAAATAAAGCAAACAAATCAAACAATTGAAAACAATATGATGAACTAATCCTAAGGTACACCCCACTTATTTACTCCCCAGCAGAGTCGCCAGTTTTGTGATACGATGGCCAGAACTGGGACATGTTTCCCTATTTTTTAAGGAATTTGCTGGTTTGCGTTTTGCGTTTGTTTTTGCAAAATGTCGCGGTAAGTAAGAGTCGCCACCGACTTTTATTTTATCCAACAAGGAAAGGAAAAAAGC